CTGGTTCGGGGCGACGGTGCTACTGCTCGGTCTGCCGCTCCCTGCGGCCCGAGGATATTTGGGCACGGGGAAAACTGCTCGGGCCAAGCAGCGGCTAGGAGGGAGGAGGAGTGAGGAGGAGGAAAAGGAGAAAAGGAGGAGGAGGAGGGGGAGGAGGAGGAGGTCGTGGTCGTCGTCGTGTCGTGTCGTGCTGTGCTGCCGACCTTACTCCTGGCCGGTCCTCAAGTTCTCGTCCGCTCGGGCTTTGCTGTTTCCCCGCCATGTATCTTTCTTGTTTGTCCTTTCCCCGTGCCCTCCTCCTGCTGGCATCCTCTTACCTGCCCCTGTTCCGGTTCGCTCTACCCCGCTCCTGGCTCCGCCCCCTTCATCTTTCCCTGGGTTCGTCCCCTCCTTCCCGTGGGCCGGGTCCGCCCTAGGGCCTTCCTCGCCACGCGCTCCCGCCGTTTCACCTCTCCTCGACTGCTCCTGCGGTTCGACTCTACCGATCTGCGACCGCGGCGTGACCTGCTGGGGCAGCATCACAAAAGAAAGGAGGGGGAGGGAGGAGGCAGGAGGCAGGAGGCAGGAGGCAGGAGGCAGGAGGAGGAGGGAGGAGGGAGGAGGAGGAGGAGTGGAGGAGCGGGCAGCAGGATCCAGCCTGGAGGAGGAATAGAGGAGGGGCAGATTCCGATACAGCTTTCCGTCTCTTTTGGCCACGGCTGGATTCGCTTCGGAGTCCCGGCCTGAACGCTCAGAGGTCCGCTGAGCTGCGGCAGGAGGATCAGATGTTGAGGACGAGGAGGTGGACCGCAGTACACCCGAGATGCATTATCGAGGCTGCTACAGTCGGCCCAGATTAGTAGGCCGACCCTGCCCAATCAAGGGTACCTTTGAGTTCTGTGTCTCGCGACCCGTGCCTCCTGCATTCCTATGGCAATGTGGCCCCCTGGAAGGGTCTCGTGTCCTCTCGTGTCTCCTCTCCAATCAAGTCCGGCCATTGTACACCCGAGGTGCATTATCGAGGCTGCTATACAACCTCCCGTCCCCAGTCCCACCCTCATTAGTCATTGCAGGCATTCTTTTTCGATGCGCGAAGCGCCCCCTCACTTGAGCGATGGGCGCCCCATGGGCTCGCAATTCAAGCGGGATCTCCGTTTTGAAAGACACCGCCCTCCACCATGCTACGATGAGGAATGGGACAGGGTGTGCTTTTCAAGTGAAGACCGTTCCGAACGACAACCCATTGGAAATAAGTGCCCTGCATCCGCGTTGTAAATGTGAGCCCTGCATCCGTGTAGCTGCGACACATGACTAAACCATCCTGCTCAAATGGCAAAAACAACGTCTCGGGCGAGAGCCCAATGTCGAAAACAAAAGCCCTCCACCCGTGCAACTGCTGCACACTGTGAACACGTGGTGATGTGGTCGGGGAAGACTCGGGTGAGAGCCCAATTTTGAAAGCGTGCCAGCTTCCGTCCGTGTGACTCTTGGAACTTGTTGAGAGACGGCGTCTTTTCCATCCGTGTAACAGTTGGAAGTTTCACCGATTGCGCACGGTGCTTAGGCGAGGGCCGTGTCTTGAGCATCGCCAGCCATTCACTCGTGTAGCTGTTGGAGGTGTGAAGCTTCGGATTGGTACTTCGTCGAAGGTGTCTCAAGCGAAACGTCGGGCCCAGCCTCTGCTGGCACGTGTGTTTGCGCGACGGACGAGGGCTTCAGGCATGGAGGAAGAGGAGGAGTACGAGGATCAGAGGGATAGGAATGCAACGCGCACGCGCACACGCACACGCACGCGCACGCGCACGCGCACGCGCGCGCGCACGCGCACGCGCACGCGCACGCGCACGCGCACGCGCACGCGCGCGCGCACGCGCACGGCGCGTGCGCGCGCACGCACGCACGCACGCACACGCACGCACGCGCGCACGCACGCACGCACGCACGCACGCACGCACGCAACGCGCGCGCGCACGCGCACGCACGCGCGCGCGCACGCACGCACGCGCGCACGCACACACGCACGCGCGCACGCGCGCGCGTGCGCACACACGCACACACGCACACACGCACACACGCACACACGCACACGCACACACGCACACACGCACACACGCACACACGCACACACGCACACACGCACACACGCACACACGCACACACGCACACACGCACACACGCACACACGCACGCACGCACGCACGCACGCACGCACGCACGCACGCACGCACGCACACACGCACACACGCACACACGCACTCGCACGCACACACGCACACACGCACACGCACACACACACACACACACGCACACACGCACACACGCACGCACACACGCACACACGCGCGCACACGCACACGCGCGCACGCGCGCACACGCGCGCACACGCGCACACGCGCACACGCGCGCACACGCGCGCACGCGCACACGCGCGCACACGCGCACACGCGCACACGCGCACACGCGCACACGCGCACACGCGCACACGCGCACACGCGCACACGCGCACACGCGCACACGCGCACACGCGCACACGCGCACACGCGCACACGCGCACACGCGCACACGCGCACACGCGCACACGCGCACACGCGCACGCGCGCACACGCGCACGCGCGCACACGCGCACACGCGCACGCGCGCACACGCGCACGCGCGCACGCGCGCACACGCGCACACGCGCACACGCGCACACGCGCACACGCGCACACGCGCACACGCGCACACGCGCACACGCGCACACGCGCACACGCGCACACGCGCACACGCGCACACGCGCACACGCGCACACGCGCACACGCGCACACGCGCACACGCGCACACGCGCACACGCGCACACGCGCACACGCGCACACGCGCACACGCGCACACGCGCACACGCGCACACGCGCACACGCGCACACGCGCACACGCGCACACGCGCACACGCGCACACGCGCACACGCGCACACGCGCACACGCGCACACGCGCACACGCGCACACGCGCACGCGCACACGCGCACACGCGCACACGCGCACACGCGCACACGCGCACACGCGCACACGCGCACACGCGCACACGCGCACACGCGCACACGCGCACACGCGCACACGCGCACACGCGCACACGCGCACACGCGCACACGCGCACACGCGCACACGCGCACGCGCGCACACGCGCTCACGCGCACGCGCGCACACGCGCACACGCGCACACGCGCACACGCGCACACGCGCACACGCGCACACGCGCACACGCGCACACGCGCACACGCGCACACGCGCACACGCGCACACGCGCACACGCGCACACGCGCACACACGCGCACACGCGCACACGCGCACACGCGCACACGCGCACACGCGCACACGCGCACACGCGCACACGCGCACACGCGCACACGCGCACACGCGCACACGCGCACACGCGCACACGCGCACACGCGCACACGCGCACACGCGCACACGCGCACACGCGCACACGCGCACGCACGCGCACACGCGCACACGCGCACACGCGCACACGCGCACACGCGCACACGCGCACACGCGCACACGCGCACACGCGCACACGCGCACACGCGCACACGCGCACACGCGCACACGCGCACACGCGCACACCCGCACACACGCACACACGCACACACGCACACACGCACACACGCACACACGCACACACGCACACACGCACACACGCACACACGCACACACGCACACACGCACACACGCACACACGCACACACGAACACACGCACACACGCACACACGCACACACGCACACACGCACACACGTCGCACATAGACATCGGCAGCGACGCGCACACGCGCGCACGCGCGCACGCGCGGCACGCGCGCAAGCGCGCACGCCGCCTACGCCACGCGGCACACGCGCCACGCCCACACGCGCACACGCGCACATGCGCACACGCGCACGCGCGCACGCGCGCACGCGCGCACGCGCGCAAATGCGCGACGTCGCGCCACGCGCGCACTACGCGCACACGCGCACACGCGCACACGCGCACACGCGCACACGCGCACGCGCGGCACACGCGCGCACGCGCGCACGCGCGCACGCGCCGCACGCCTGCGCACGCGCGCACGCGCACGCGCACACGCGCACACGCGCACATGGGCACATGCGCACACGCGCACACCGCACGCGCACGCGCGCACGCGCGCACGCGCGCACGCGCACACGCGCGCACACGCGCACACGCGCACACGCGCACACGCGCACACGCGCACACGCGCTCACGCGCACACGCGCACACGCGCACACGCGCACACGCGCACACGCGCACACGCGCACACGCGCACGCGCGCACACGCGCACACGCGCACGCACTCGCACACGCACACGCACACGCACACGCACACGCACACGCACACTGTGACCTCTGGGGCCAGTGTCGACTTTGGGCCACCTTCCTTCTGCGGTTGAGCTTCATGTCCTCGTGCACCACGGCTACGATACCACTTGTTGCGACAATCACGTTGCTGGTGGCTGCCTCCATCATCTTGCACCTCAGATTTGTCACCTGCAGCGCGGGAATGATGGGATTGATGCTTGAAAGACTTGCCACGTTCTGAACAATGCTTGTGACCACCAACCCCATGCCAGGTCCATCTCCAGCAGTTCGGCGCCTGGCAGTACCATTTCTTTCACTGCTTGGGGCCTCCCATTGCGGCGGGGAGACTGACTGGCCGTTCGCGTCTGCGGCCAGTAAAAGACAGAAAAAATGGCGGCGATGAGTGGCTGCTACCCTGGGCCGAGGCAGCCAGGCCTGTGGAAGGGGCTGCCCTTCCACCTAGGCCTCGAGCTTCTGGAGTCGGGACGGGGAGGAGTTCCCGTCTTGAGCCAAAATGGCTACGGGGGAGGAGGAGGACGAGGAAGAGGAGGAGGAGGATGGCGGAGGAGGAGGAGGACGACGAGGAGGAGGAGGAGGACGAGGAGGAGGAGGAGGAGGAGGAGGAGGAAAAACCTCCTCCTGATCGTCGTCGGTCCGCGCCTGCCCAAATGCAGGGGCCTCCTCCCGGCGAGGTCGGCTGCGCCGGGCCGCCGAGGGGCGCGGACCGGGGCGGCGGCGCGGGGCCGAAACACCAGGCGCGGGCCCACGCCCCCCCCGAGCGCCTGCCGGGCGCGTGGCCCTGCCTTGAAAACGAACAATAACGCCACAGTTCAAACAGTGGCGAAGCGTCATGGTTGGGGCTGTCTTTGTTTAGCGCATCGGGTTTATGTTCTAAGAACATCGTTTTTGTTTTGTATGCCCGAGGCGCCAGGTACCCACTAGAAAAGGTTAGTGTGGTGGCGGGGGACGTGCCTTGGGCGGTGGTGAATATGATGTTCGCGGTTTGTCACGTGCCACTTATCATGAATAAAGATGTCATGCGTTAGCGTTAAAAAAAAGGAAGAGGGGTGAGGAGAAGGGGGAAGAGGGCCGTGGGAAAAGAGAGGAAAAGGGGGATTCGACGATCGCCTGACAGCCTGGCCATGGGAGGGGGGAGGAGGGAGGTTTTTTTTCTCAGGCGAGAGAGAGGGGCGGGAGTGAAGAGAGAGGACGGGGGGAGGGGAGGAGAGAGGGAGGAGAGAGGGGAGGAGAGAGAGGGAGGGAGGAGAAAGGGGACGAGAGAGAGGGAAGGGGGTCGAAAGGGGAGAGGTGGCCGTGGGAGAGAGGAGGAGAGAGGACACCTTGAGTGACCAGATTCCCTGGGGGAATCTGGTCACAAACTGTTTTGGTCGTGCTGACCATTTGTGAGAAGCCCATCTGCGTTTTTCGTTGAACGTCCTTATGTTTTGGTCTTGGCCGCTCGCTGAATAAATCCCGAGCCTCGCTGTCTGGCTCCTTGGTGGTCAATTTTCACATTCCCCTAGAGGGTATCGATAGGAATCGGCCGTTTCTGCCTCGCCGGTTGTTGTTCACTCGTCTGGCGGCTGCAAATCCTGGTAATCATGTTCCCCTTCCACATTCTGCGCGTCGCCACACTGGAATCCTCTCGTGAAGCTATACCGACCGTCGAAGATAGCAGTCGCTGTCGTCGTCCTGGTCGTCCTCGTCATCATTGACTCCGTTCGGGTGTGATCTCATTTTCTTCATCGTCGTCCGCAGCCATTTTGGCACCAGCATGCACAACAAAACCGCTCTTCTGGCGAATCGCGGGCGAAAGGTTGGATTCAATTTGTCTGGGCCCCAGCGACAGAAATTTCGGACACGTGAACAAAAAACGAGCAGATAAATTAGAGAGGCAAGTTCAGGAACTCTCCACGGCCCTAGCCCCAGACAAAGCCCAAGCTGCATCGCAAGTGTTGAGTACGGGTGGATTCGTTTCCCAGCGATCTAAATCGGTCCAGCTTCTGGTTGATGGTGAGGCTGTTTGGACTTCTCGCCGCGGGCACGGCAGGCATGGTTACGACGCGGCGTCCAATCGAGCCCTTGTTTCGCACGTTGCTGCACAGACTTCTGGACTGGCTTCTTTTGTAACGGACAACGCAGACAGGATACTTGGAAGTTGGTCAACTAATATTTTTGATGACGCTACGATGTGGGTTAACAGTAAGTCTCTCAAAAAAACATGTTTACACAGATGCTGAAACACATGTGGAGGCAAAGCTGAAACAGCATGGGAAAACTCACACATGCAAGCCCTTTCGATGTGTGAGAACTTGTTTGTGCTGCGAGCTGCTCCAAGCGAAGACAGTGGAAACACAACTGGCACTGGCCGCATGCTGTTATCCAGTACTGCCGTGGAGTCGCCGACTCAAATTCTTCCAGTGGCGAGTGCGATGACTGTGTATGACCGATGGAAAAAGTGGACCGTCATGAGCACATGCAATACAGGCAGGTGCGTTGATAAATACGGAGAGATACAACGAGGCTTACAGGCAGGTGCGTTGATAAATACGGAGAGATACAACGAGGCTTGGAGTGCATACCGTGGAAAACGATCGCGCTTGCTAAAGACAGCCTTCGGCTCAATAGGTGTTTGGTGTGCTTGCAGGAACAGAACATAAAGGATGCCCCCGAGGATTCGCCCGTCCATTCGATCACTCTTATTGATTTCAGATGTGCATGCCACAGCGTGGTGTTGGCGACGAAGCCGTTGATCGCTTCCACGGGCTGCTCTTCCCTTTTGGTCAAGCTAGGTCATGCCTTCGAATCCGCTCGCTCTCATGCCACATATTTGGAGGTTTTGAATTCTGAGGTCGAGGAGTCGTTTGAACACAGATTCGCGCCTGTACTACCAGCATCAGCGGCGGCATGGCGACAACAATGGGCGCACTTATTGATGCTGTCGTCCGCCGCTCGAGATTTGACGCAAGCCGACATCGATTTCATGTTGGCGGCGATGGCGCGCGACCCAGATTCCGATGATATTCGTCACTATTGTTCGCCAGGGTGTCCACTCAAGTGCAAAGGGGACGACCAGGCGGCTTTGTCAGCGTGCAAGAAAACGATTCGCTTGGTCTGCGGGGGGCCTTTTTCCAGTTCCCCTGGGATATCGCTGGAAAGGCATGGAGGTTGCAGCGGCGTTTTGCAGGCGAGCTCTCCGCGCCCATGGCGCGTTGAAAAGGGGCCTCCAAATTGTGTTCAGCAAAAAAGATTTGCACGATGCATCGGAACAGCTCAGAAAAGCAAGGGAATCTGGGACTGCCGACAGCGACGCCTTGTCAAAAGCAAAACACACTGTCAGTGGTGGGAAGATCGTTACGTTTTTGGAGTCTGGCGGCGCTGCGAAAGCTTTTGGCAAGTGTATCCTACTCAACCGACCAGTGCAGCACTACCCGAACGCAGCATTTCAGACCGACGAGCTCACAGAGGTGGTCGTCAAACATTCTGCGGCTCTCCCGCCCAGCGCAGCTTCGACGACCGCTCATGTGTCCCAGGATATCGGCAAGGCCATCGAGGCGAACATGGAGATCCTCAGCGGCAGGCGGGGGCATCAGGTTCTGGATGCGTTTGCAAGTATGATGTTGAATTATCGCGGCACCGAGTGGGACTACATTCAACTAGACGACGGTGATCGGCATGCTTGCGCAGAGAACATTCTTCTTGCCATCTCTGGCGCTTGGTATCGGCTGGTCATCCTGTACGAGCGCGACCCCCGCTACCAGCTGCTCAGGGCGTGCGACATTAAGCACTACAGCGACTACACCATCGGCACCATCACTGACCAACTTGCTGCGCGACTCGACAGGTGCAGCGCTTGCGTCGACCTCTGTTTCACTCGGCCTTGGCCACGGCGGCTTCGGCATCCTCGTCGGCGTGTTCGAGAGGCTGCCCACGTATACGTGAGGCATTTCCTGTCAACTTGCAAACGTGTATCGACGAAAAGTGAACGTCGACATCTGCTGGGCCAAGAGAGTAGGAGCAACAGGCGGGGGAGATCCCTGGATGCGACTGGGGTGTCCAAGATGACCTACCAGAAAGGTATGATCCAATCAGCTTCGGCGATGTATAACTACGTTCACAGCGACTATTTCAAATCTGCCGACTTGGCGAAAAGGTGGTCGGCTGCCCTCTCACAGTTCGAAGTGGGTCGAGCTCGCGTGCGCGGTCGTTCGAATGCCTCGACGGTTGGAAACTCAAAGAGTTGTCGGTTGGTGGGGTCGGGTGCTCAGGCGAGCAAGAAGCCCGTGCGGGCCTGCGATATCTTTGTGAGCGAACATTACTGCGATGTGACGTGCGAGGGTAGCATGGTGCAGAAACGCAGGAGGGTCGATGACATGTGGAGAGAATTTTCAGACGGTGACCGCGCAGTATACCAGGGGAGGGCAGACCACGAGAACGACTCTTTGCGAAATATGTCAGGTTGCTCTTATAAGGCGTTTGCTCAGGATGAGGGCACCAGGCATCGACTTCGCAAATGCAAGGCTCGGACAGAGAGGAGGCGTGCCACTATCCAGACGTTGAATGAGCTTCGGGGCCATTCGGCCTGGTCCGCGGGAACTGGGGCGGCTGCTGTTGGGACTGGCCTCAGGGTTGATAGAGTGCTCGGGGGGGGGGGGCGATGCCAAAATGGCCGAGGAGGCGCAGCGCATTTTCGAGTGCGACCCAGACGCCCTACCGAAGCACACGGGGACGTTGAAGCCTGAATCGTGCTGTTGTCTTCGGAATTTTGGCCTTTGCGACTGCGACGAAGCACTGGGTCCTGCGCAGATCTTGACTCACAACTTGTACGTTGCATTGTTTCAAGCAGGGCTTCGCTTGAAACTGCCAGTTCTGTGCAAGTTCCAGACTGCCGACGATGACAGTGACGCGGTATTGCACGCGTGGCTCCGTAGATTTCGAGGCAGGGGGGAGAGCGCTACATTCGTGTACGGCGCGCCCGACGACCCGACCAGCACAGGCGCCGAGTGTTTCACGCTGAAGCTGAGCGAGGGCGGCAAGGTCTGCCCATCTACATCGCAGATGCTTTTCCAGGGCTTGCTGCGACTTGGGTCGACGGCCATTGGCGCGTCGATTGATGCGATCGAGCAAGCGCAGGTGGCTCGCCTTAGAACCAGCAGGGCCAATGGGACAAATTATTTCGCATGCGAAGTTCACGGGCCCGTGCTTGCAGAGAGTCTGAGCGTGAAGTTGAAGGCGAAGATGCCTCGGGCAAAAAAGGAGAAGGATGGATGGGGGCGATGCGCAGGCGGTCGAGCTTCCCTTCGGCCTCGGCGCGGCGCCAATTCTTGAGGAGGACGCCGGTGGCGACCCCCCCGAGGGCGCGAACTGCGGTGGCGCTGAGGGCGGGTCGGAGCGGGGCGACCCATTGCCCCTGGCACTGAGCCCTGAGGGTAGTAAAGATGATCAGCTTCACTTGACGCCGCCTCCTTCGCTTGCGTCCATGTCCCCCCCGGGTTCCCCAGTGCCCGATGACCCTCCTCCGCTCTCTGACGTTGAGCCAGAGCCAGAGCTAGTGGTGATAGATCGGAGCGCTCTGGGAGTGAATGAGTATGAGTTTCCCTCCAGCCGCAGAGCGATCTGCTCCGTGTGCAATGTTGCCATAGAGAAAAATCAGTTCCGCTTCAACTATCGTCTGAAGCTCGGGACTTCCATTCGTGATCAGCGAAAGCTGCGTTGCGAGTGCTTTTCCGCTGGAGCGCTCCCTGGTGAAGCCAGG